GTATTTATTTATTTTTTTTTGGAGACAGAGCCTGGCTCTGTCCCCCAGGCTGGAGTGCAGTGGCGCTATCTTGACTTACTGTAACCTCTACCTTCCAGGTTCAAGTAATTCTCATGCCTCAGCCTCCCGAGTAGCTGAGACCACAGGCATGTGCCACCACACCAGGCTGATTTTTGTATTTTTAGTACAGATGGAGTTTTGCCATGTTGGCCAGGCTGGTCTCAAACTCCTGACCTCAGGTGATCCATCCGCCTTGGCCTCCCAAAGTGCTGGGATTACAGGGATGAGCTACCATGCCTGGCTAAAAGTGTATTTCTTAATTTCCAAACATAATCTTGTATTGATATTGTCATTATTGTCTTCTAACTGAATCATATTGTGGTCTGAGAAGTTGGTGTTCATCTGAGTTACACAGTCTGATAGCCACTGGCTACTCATGTCTATTGAGCACTTGAAATTTGGTGAGTCCAAATTGAGATATACTCTAAGTGTAAAACATACACTGAATTTCAAAGACTAAGAACAAAAAATAGAATGTAAAAATCTCATTAATAGTTTTTCATATTGATTACATGTTGAAATGATAATATATTGGATATGGTGAATTAAATAAAATACAAAATTAATTTCACTTTTTAAAATGTGGCTACCAGAATATTTAAAAGTACACATGTGGCTTATGTTTCTGTTGGGCAGGGATGATCTAAAAACATCTTTTGAAATTTGTTGATATTTGCTTTTTGGCCCAGGCTTTGCTCAATTTTTATGTATGTTACATGTATACTGGAAAAGAACATGTATTCTCTAGTTATTAGGATTAATATTCTGTGTATATATACAGATTAAGCTTGTCGATCATTTTCATTAATTATTTTTTATTCCTACTGATTCTTTTGTCAGCTTTATTTATCAATAGTTGGAGAGATACATGAAATGTTCTTGCTATCATGGTGGATTTGTCTTTTGCTTACAGTTCTACTATTTTTTGCTTTATATTTTTTGAGCTGATGCTTTTAGATACTTATAAATTTAGAGTTGTGATAGCTTCCTGGTAAAACTGCATATCATTATGTAGTCAAGCCTTTGCCTCTAATGATTTTTTGTCTTAAAGTCTGTTTTATCTGACTATTAATATAGCTACAAAGCTTTATTTTGGTTGGTATTTGCCTGTTCATATATTATTCCATTTTGTTGTTTTAACCTTTTTACGTCATTATGTTTTAGAAATGGGTCTCATAAAGACTTTATAATTGTATTTTCTTTCCTTAAAGATCTGATCATTTTTGTATTTTTCCAAAGTATTGCATTAGTTCATTTACATTTGTTACAGTTACTGATTTATTTACATCTACTCCTACCATTTTATTTTGCGCTTTTTTGTGAGACACAGCCTCACTCTGTTGTCCAGGCTAGAGTTCAGGGGCATGATCGTAGCTCACTGCAGCTTTGATCCCCGGCTGATGATTCTCCCACCTTAGCCTCTCAAGCAGCTGGGACTATGGGTACATGTCACTGTGCCTGGCTCTGTCAAAAAACATTTTTAGTACGGTCAGGATCTGGCTGTGTTGGCCAGGCTGGTCTCGAATTCCTGAACTCAAGCAATCGTCCTGCCTCGGCCTCCCAAGGTGCTGGGATTATAAGCATAAGCCACCCCGCCCAGCCTGTTTTGTGCTTTGCGTGGGTTTTGCATTTCTTCACTCCTTTGTTTCATTGCCTCCTTTTGGATTATTTTTTCTTACCTCTTTTTATTCCTCTAGTAGTTTAGATGTTTCCTTTCCTCAGCTCATATTTTTTTGGTGCTTCTCTTAGAAATTTGAGCAAAAATCACTGACTTATCAAAGTATGAAGGTCGTTACAATCTTTATCTTCCTCTGAAATGACACAGGGATCTTGGAATGCTCTAATTCCAAGCATGTAGATTTCCAATTTGTGTGCTGTAGTTATCCAGTCGATTCGTCCTATGTATTTTTTAATCCCCAAGTTACACACTGTTATTACAGTTTCATAGAATGTTTGTTTAGATTTAACAACATCTTCATCATTTTCTTTGCTCAAAATTCCTCCTTTCATCTCAGCTTTTCTATTGGGATCCTTTTTCCTTCCTTCTTCCTCAGGTTTATCTTTTAGCATTTTGTTTATTGAGCAAAACAAAATTATCAAGAAAAACAACTCTGTTGATTTTCTCTACAGTATCTTTATTTCTTCTTTATTCTTGAAAAGTATTTTGTCTGGGTCCACAATTGATCATTATTTTCTTTAAGCACATCGAAAATATTATTTTTCTATGTTTTGCTTTTCATTATTACTGTTGAGAAAGTATCTATTAGTCTAATTGCCATTCCTTTATAGATAAAATGTATTTTGGTGAATGGGGTCATAGTACAGTAGTTGAAGGTTTGGCCTCTGGAATCAGACTGCCTGGATTTAGATCCCAGCTCTTTAGTTTTCTAGCTGTGTGACATTGAGCAAGCTGATTAACCTTCCCATGCCTCTGCGTGCCTCAGTTTCCTCTTTTGTAAAATGGGAGAGATAATAGTACCAGTACCTACTTCATAAGATTGTGGTGAGGATTAAATTAACTGATACGTAAAACAGTCGCCACAGACGTAGCTCATTTTAAGTGCTGTTCAAGTGTTAGCTATTACTTTTTTTCTTTATGCTTGTAACGATCTCCTTATCATGAGTGTTGGTGTGTCTAGATATGAACTTCCTTTTATTTATTCTGTTTGAGATCCACTGAGCTTTTTGAATCTGTAAGTTGCTGTCTTTTATCAATTTTGAAAAAATATTAGCCGTATTTCTTTAAACACTTCTTCTACACATTCTCTTTCCTCTCTCTTTCTGAAACTTCAGTTAGATTAATTAATCATTTTCTCTCTATCCGTCTGTCTTTCTTTTCCCTCCCTCCCTTCCTTCCTCTTTTCCTTTTCTTTCTTTCTTCCTTTTTCCTTTCCTTTATGCTGAGACAGTGTCTTGCTGTGTCACCCAGGCTAGAATGCAGTGGTGTGATCACAGCTCACTGCAGCCTTGACTTCTCAGTCTCAAACAATTCTGTCGCCTCAGCTCCTGAGCAGTTGGGACTACAGGTGCACACCACCACGCCTGGCTTTTTTTTTTTTTTTTTTTTTTCTTGTTTTTGTGGAGACGGGATCTTGCTATGTTTCCCAGGCTGCTCTTGAACTTCTGGCCTCAAGCGATCCTCCTGTCTTGGCCTCCCAAAGTGCTGAGATTACAGGCGTAATGTGTCTCTTGGTGCTTCACAGTGTCTGCTGTGAAGATTCTGGATAATTTATTTAAATCTATTGTCCAGTTAGCTGATTTGTTTCCGCGGCATCTAGTATGCTATTAAACCAATATATTGAGTTTGTAAACTTTAATGAAGATTGTTATATTTTTCATTTCCAGAAGTTGTGTTGGTTCCCAACCAAATCTGCCTGGTTGTTTTTTGTAGGTTTTCTTTTTGTCCTTCACTCATGCGTTCACCTCTTTCTTTTACTTCTTTAAACATGTGATACATACGTAGTTTGTATTCTGCTCTGATACGTCCAGTGTTGAAAGGCTTTGCTTGTCTCATTCTCCTGCCTGTTCTTTTGGAGCCACATAACGCCAACGTTAGGACCCCTGAGACAGGGGCCAGCCAGAAAGCTTTGAACTGTGAAGGGCTGGTCTTGATGCTTTTCCTGCTCCTCTTCTTCCCACACCCCTTTTCTTTGTTTTTTCTCCCTCTTTCTCAATTTACTTTTTTGAAAGGCTGATTCATTTCCATGGTTCAAAAAAAGTGAAACTCATCTTTCTCGGCACCCAGTCGCTTCCCTACTGGCAGCCAGGGTTATATAGGTTCTTGCAGATACTTCCTGTGATATTTTATGCGTATTCAAGCAAATACAAATTTAAAAATTCATTCTGTCTGTAACACGAAGGGTAGCACACTACACGTATTGTTCTGAACTTGTTTTTAATAAAAAAAGATGTTTCTGGTTACAAAAGAAATACATGCTCATTTTGAATAACATGAATACCCAAGTATCTACAAGTAGAAAGTGAAAGTCTCGCTGGAATTTCATTCCCCAGATAAACCTCTATTATGTATCTATAAATATATATTTACATAAATGGGCTTATGCAACTGATACTGTTCTGTAACCTGTTTTTTCTTTTTCTCCCAATAATACTTCATGACATCGTCCCATGAATCTTTCCATGTCTCCACATAGCCCCCGAGTTAAGTGCTTGGGTTTTGGAGTCAGACAGAGCGAGGTTCTAATGCTAGCTCTGCAGCTTAGCAGATATAGGACTTTTCAGATCCTCTCTGAGCCTCAGTTTCCTCATCTGTAAAATGGGGATAGAAATAGTGTATACCTCACGGTGTCGTTCTGGGACCGTAAAAGCCTGCATGATGTGCTACCTGTGGGGCCGGCTACTTCATAAGCCCTCAACGAGTGGTCATTTTTATGGTGACTTCCTTACCCTTTATAAGACACTTAGAAGTATGAAGTGTCACCATGTACTAACCATTTTCCCTTTGATGGACTTTTTTTTTTTGAGATAGAGCCTTGCTGTATCCCCCAGGCTAGAGTACAGTGGTGTGATCTCGGCTTATTGCAACCTCCACCTCCTGGGTTCAAGTGATTCTCTTGCCTCAGCCTCCCGAGTAGCTGGGATGATAGGCACCCGCTACCACTCTGGCCAATTTTTGTATTTTTAGGAGAGAGAGGGTCTCACCATGTTGGCCAGGCTGGTCTTGAACTCCTGACCTCAGGTGATCTGCCCGCCTTGTCCTCCCAAAGTGCTGGGATTACAGGTGTGAGCCACCGAGCCTGGCCTGATGGATGTTTTGTTGTTAACCATTTTCCCTTTGATGGACAACTTTTTTGCTGTAAGTATAACTCAGTGAACACTGAACACTCACCTCAACAAGAATGCCGTCTTTTTGTGAATTTCCTGCCATGGGGTGGCCGGGTCCTCTGGATTCTAATCTCTGCATCCTCTTTCTCTTCAAGGAGGAAGTGAAAATACCCCATGGGGTGAAGCTTGTGTATTATGTAAGTTTTTACTGTTTAATACTGCTTTTCTTCCTCCCTTTCCTCAGGTGGGGTGGAGGGGGAGGGCTCCTGCACAGTAGAGGTGGTCCTACCCCCACCCAGCCTGCCCTCCCCCAGCATCCTAGTGCTCCCCTCCCTCTATAATATTGGGTCTTAGACTTTTTGTTTCCTGCAGACCTTGGTTACTGACCATTTCATGATCATTCGTTTAAGAGTTAGTTTTCAGACTCACCTAGTTTTAAAACAATTCCCTGTGGTTTGCAATAAATTAAAGGAATCAAAACACATTTAAAATGGGCCAAAAGCCTAAAGAAAGCAAGAAAAGAGGAAGGAGAAGGGAGAACCTTGTTACAACACTTTACTCTCCACCAATCCTGGAAAGGTACAACTACTAGGCTCAAAGTTAACGCTGAGCTTCCTGGCAGCCATAGTAAAAAGGGGAACAGGATAGATTCTGTAGCTCATTAGAAGAACAAAATCTACTCTGCACCTTGAAATGGTCATGAAGCGATTTTTTTTTTTTAAATCGGCAATAGAGAAGTGATCAGCAGGGTTACAAAAGGTGCTGACTGCATTTGGCTGCTTCAAGGGAGAGGCAGAGAGCAAGTCAGTGACCCCTGAAAGGGGCATGACAGAGCTTTGAGCGGGAGGAGGTGGAGTCAGAACAGGGCGTGTCCCTCCTGATGAGATGCATCTGCGGTCAGGAGGGTGAGAGGGTCCTGGGAGAGAGTCCAGTTAACTCTGAATGTGACTGGGGGTTAAGGGGAGGTTGAGAAGGGATGGGGATGGAGACAGGCTTCTCTCCCAGGACACTGGCTAGCCAGGTAGCAAACATTCACTGAACGCTATGGGCCAGGCCTTTTCCAGCCTTTGGGAATACAGCGGGGCCCAAGACAGGCATGCTGTCTGTCCTCACGGAGCTTACAGTCCAGTGGGAGAGAGACATGAACCAATTACAGGTGAGGGGAGTACTCTCAAGGTGGGGACAGCCACTGGCCCTGCTTACTTCTGAAGTGCCGTCTCCCCCACAGCTGGATTCCGGGCCAGTGATCCATCTTCTGGGGGCTGTCAGCCATAGCCAGGCAGGGGGTCAGCTCGCACCAAAGCTAGAGGTCCTGGAGGACTTGATGCAGTTCAGCTCGCTCTCACCTGCCAAGAGGCTCAGAAGGAAGAAAAGACCCATGGCGCAGGGCCCTGCTGGGTGCCAGGTACAGAACACGTGACGTCATTTAATCCTGCTGAGAGAGGCAGCTTCACACCTGATTGACAGAGATGTCACCAAGGCTCAGAGAGAGGGTGCCACTTGCTCGCTATCACACAGAATAGCCAGAGACAGGGTTAGGCCCCAGCGGGGTGGCTGGCCTGCCTCCATGTGTACTTCCTTCTGCAGCTCTGAATTCAGGGTGGACTGCAGGAGGAAGGGGCTGGGTCTCCAGTGCATCTGGGGAGGGAACCGTCCCTGGCCTCCATTTCTGGCTGACTAGTTTGTCCTGCTCCCTGCCCCAAGGTTTTCCAGCCTCCTCCTTCAGGAGGCACAGCATGGGACTCTGGTGGCCTCTCTGACCCCTTCCACCCTCCAAGAAGCGGTTCCCTGTCCCTTGGCAACCCCATCTTGGACCCTGCGTGTCACCAGGGGAGTGCTTCTGCCCTGGCCACTTGCCTTCTTCGCTGGAGCATGGGTCAGGGAGGACGTGGGAGTGGGGAGGTGACTAGAGGAAGCAGCGTCTCCTGGGCTGGAAGGCCAGGCCCATCGGCACAGCCTCAGTTCCTGTCGCCTCCACTACAGAGTGGCCCAATGGAGGCTGAAGAAGAGGAACCTCTGCTGGAGGAGGAGGCGGAGGACTCAGGTGAAGGACCCTGGAGGGAGCCTCCTCTGCCGCCCCCTGGCTTCCAGACACTGCTGGGGCCTGGGGAGGACTTGGACCTTGCTTCTGGCCCCAGCCCCTGCTAGGACTCTTCTCTCCCCGCATCCCATCAGCCTGTAGCTCTTCCCCAAAGGGGTTGGGGCCGCTGGCTTGCCTGGGCTTGGCTCTCAGACAGATGGAGAGAGGGGTCTAGGTCTTTGAGGGTGGGACCCCTCTCCTGTCTGCCTAAGCCCATCAGCCTTGAGTCAGCCCCTCCCCTTTACCCTGGGCACCCCTGGGAGCCTGTGACATTCTCTCTCCACAGCTCTGCTCCAACAGGAGAAGCCATCCCTGTATATCGGGGTGCGGGGCACTGTTGTCCGTTCCATGCAGGAGGTGCTGTGGACTCGGTGAGGCCCTGCTCCCTACTACGTGACATCCCAAGGGACGCCCTCACATGCCCCGCCTCTGGGGCCCTGCCACGTTCTAAGGGCTTCTGGGTATCTGGCTAACTCCGTTTGGTAGCTGTGCAAGGTCCCTTGGCCACACAAAGTGCCATTGGAGAGCTGAGGTTTGAAGCCGGGTCTCTCTGGCTTCAAGGCTGTGTTTCCCCACTCAGCTGCGGCAGCTCTCAGCCTCGGCTCACGTCCAGCCGTGCCAATGTCACCTGCAGCAGATGCTTTCAGATGGTGAGAGCCTATGCTGGGAGCGGTCAGAGACCCGAGCCCAGAGCTCTCATTTGCTGATGGGGAGACCAAGGCCCAAAGAGGGTCGGACTTTGCAAAAGCCACACAGCGAGTCAATGACAAATGACACCCAGGGCCAGGGCTCCGTTCCCTCCCCTGACTCAGGCCTTACTCTGACCTGACCTGGGCTTCCTCCCCTCCACACACACCCCACACATTGCATGGGCCAGAGACAGAGCACGGGCTGACGAATCAGACAGTCGGGTTTCCAGTATTGCTTTTGCCACTAATTACACGGCTGTGAGTAAGCCCTTATTTTCTCTGAGCCCTCGTAACCCCATCTGTAAAAGGAGAATGATCCTATTTCCTCCTCACAGAATTGGGGTGAGAATAACTAGGTTCCTGCAGGGAAACGCCCACGACAGGAACAAGTTGGCCCAGACCCTGCCGCCCACCCATCTGCCTCCCTCTGAGACCAAGTGCCTGGCGAGCCTCCTGGGCTCATGGCCACACCCTGCCCTGGCCTCCACAGCCTTCGGGAGCTCCCAGACCTGGTGCTGAGTGAGGAGGTGGTGGAGGGCATCGCTGCTGGCATTGAGGCAGCCCTCTGGGACCTGACACAAGGCACCAACGGCCGCTACAAGACCAAGTACCGCAGCCTGCTGTTCAACCTGCGGGACCCCAGGAACCTGGTAAGCAGGGCTTTGGGCTGGGCCGGGTCCCCTGTCTGAGGCTCATAGCCCCTGCAGGATGTGAGGTGGGGCTGTTTCGGCTTTGTGCTGCAGCCCTGCCCCCTGCCCCCACAGGACCTGTTTCTCAAAGTGGTTCATGGAGATGTCAACCCCTATGACCTGGTGCGGATGAGCTCGATGCAGCTGGCCCCCCAGGAGCTGGCCCGCTGGCGGGACCAGGAGGAGAAACGGGTGAGTGCTGAGCTCAGTCAGGACGGTAAGGGGATGTGGGAGCAGAGTGGGTGGCCTGAGGGTGGAGGAGGGAGAGACAGAGACAGGGAGCAAGGGAGGAGGCACTCAGAAAGACAGAATGAAGGAAACAGAAGGCAGACGGGGAATCAGAGAGACCCTTCCCACAGCAGGAGAAGGGGCGGAAATGAAAGGGGCTGGGATGAAGTGAAAGAGCTTGGTAGAGACGTGACACACTTGGCCCTGTGGGCGTGGGTTTGTCCCTGCCCGGGAACTGCTCGGGGACTGGGAAGCTGTGGCACCGAGCGGGCTTTAGAGAACACTCACCTCATGCTTGTTGGTGGCCCAGTGAGAGAATAAGGGACTGATTTAGGGGCTGAGGCCACTGGGATGGGGCAAGGCCCTCCAGCCCCTGCTCTGGAAGACACTGAGTGGATTAGAAGGAATAACCAGAGTCCATCAGGTGAATCCTTCCCTATAGGCGGAGCTTCCGTCCGGGCTCTGTGGGGGACCGGGATCGGGACTGGCTTTATAATTTTCAGGAGCCAGTGCAGAATGAAAATTCGGGGTCCTCTGTTCAACTGCTAAGAATTGCAAGGTGACAACAACAGAGCACTAAGCCATGCAGGGGCCTCCCGAAGCGCAGGGCCCTGTGCAATTGCACGAGGCTGAGCCCACCAGAGAGAAGCGGACCCCCTGTCCTCCAGGGGTTGTTAGGAAAGGAGACACAGGCTTTCAGGGAGCATTGCAGATAGAGTGACATTGATCGACAGTAAGACTTACAACTAGCATTTGCTACGAGCCATATTCCAGGCTAAGCACTCTCTATATGTTGTTTAATATAGTGCTTTTCACTAAATTCCTACAAACAGATAAACTGAGGTTTAGAGCCTCTAAGTGCTTGCCCCAGGCCATACCACCTTATGAATCTTTATTAATGGCCCAGTGGGGACTTCAAAGCCTGCACCGTTTAAGCAATACCACACCGTTCCCAGAACAGGATGAAGTACAGTCAGAGGTTGAACTGATCTGTGGGTGAAAGCGAAATCCAGGAAGGCTTCCTGGAGGAGGCAGGATTTGAAGGGTGCATCAGTGGAACATGGAGAGGTAGCACTAAGGGTGGAGGGCTTCCCAGGGGAGGGATATGGTGGAAGTAAAAGTGTTGAGGAAAAGGGAACCACAAGAGAGGGCCTCAAGGGAGGAAAGTGAGCACTTGGGCTTTTGATGGCTAGAGGTCCCCTAACAAGGCTCAGCTTTGGCTGCTCTTTCTCTTCAGGGCCTGGATATCATTGAGCAGCAACAGAAGGAGCCGTGCAGACTCCCAGCCTCCAAAATGACCCACAAAGGCGAAGTGGAGATCCAGCGGGACATGGACCAGACGCTGACCCTGGAGGATCTGGTGGTAAGCTGGAGCCTGACCTGGTGCTGGGCAGAGCCCATGCCTGGGGGTCCCACGCCTCGCCTCACCAGTGGTGTGGCCTTGGGCATGTCACCCGACTGCTCTGAGGCCCGACTTATTTGTGATAAAATGGGGACAGTGACCCTTAACGCACAGGGGAGCATGGGAGGAGACAGTGCTGCTGGCACAGGCCTGCCAGCGCCTTGTCACTGTTGGTCCCCCTCCTTTTGGCCTCACCCCAAGGCCCCCACATGAGTGGCATTAAGTCCCATCATCATAGTCACCCCCAACCTCAGGCCTTCTGCCAAGATCTCTGCTGGGAAACAGTAGGCTGCACTGTTCCAGGCAGTGAATTTTTCAGATGGAAGGAATGAAGACCCACTGTATTCAGTGGATTGATTTGGGGATGCTCCAGGCAGGGAACCCCCTGGCGCCCAGGCAGTCGGTCCAGAGGGCCTCCTGGAACTTGTCCTCAGACCTGGAAAGCCCACAGGAGTGACAAAAGCCAACAGGAGTGACAAGAGTCTAGGGCTCTTGCCACTGAGGATCTGCTCCATCCCCATGTCCATCCTGCCCCTTCCTCCCCCTTGGCCGAGGCTTGCACAGAAGCTGACGTGGCGGCTCAGCAGTCCCAGAATCCACGAAGCCTTCACCTCAGACTCCTGCAGTCCACCAGAACTTCCCCTGACTTTGGTCACTCTCAGAAGGCCACTCTGGCTGTGGTCGAGTGTTCTGTGGGTCAGATGTTCAACTGGGTCTTATCAGCTGTGTGTCCAGGAGAGGGGTGGGGGGCAGGTCTCTTTAACCAGTACATACTCAGTCAGTCAGTACATTTATGGGGCACCTGCCAGGTGCCAGGCATGGTTCCAGGCACGGGGGAAACAGTGAACAGACGGAAATCTCTGCTCCCAACTCCTACCACCAATGACTGGGAGAACTTCTGCCTGTGCCAAGAGGAGCCCCAAGGGAGTGTGGCTGCTCCCCAATCAAAATCAATTTGCAGCCTGGGTTCGGTGGCTCATGCCTGTAATCCCAGCACTTTGGGAAGCCGAGGCAGGTAGATCATGAGGTCAAGAGTTCGAGACCAGCCTGACAAACATGGTGAAACCCTGTCTGTACTAAAAATACAAAAATTAGCTGGGCCTGGTGGTGCTCACCTGCAGTCCCAGCTACTTGGGAGGCTGAGGCGGGAGAATCGCTTGAACCTGAGAGGCGGAGGTTGCAGTGAGCTGACATTGCACCACTGCACTCTAGCCTGGGCAACAGAGCGAGGCTGTCTTAGAAAATAAATAAATAAATAAAATAAAATCGATTTGTATTCCCTGAACAAACTGAATGGCAATGTAGGAGAAAGACCTAGATAGCGCCAGAGAGGAGGAGACAGAGGAGATGGTGGGGAGGGGAGGGGAAAATAACACATGATAACAGTCTTGACTGTTTATTGAATACTTACTATGTTCCCCTTTTACAAGCAGTGTCTCATTCACATCTCACAGTGGCCTAGGAGGTGGGTGCTATTCCCTGCCCGTTTCTGAGATGAGGAACCTGACGCTGTTTACCCAAGGCCACACAATGTGCAGTGGGAGCTGAGATTTGAACCCAGGCTGCCTGACTCCAAAGTCTGTGCTTTGAGACTGTTCTGGAGGTGGCTAATAAGAGCAGAGTTTCAAAATCTTCTTAAACCTTCCTAAAGCAATGATTGTTTTATGTTTAAAGCTATTTCTAGTATGAGGAAAAAAAGTGATTTGGCAATAGACGTCAGGAGTCTTTAAAATGTTCCTTCTCCCTGATTCTGTCATCTGCTCCTGAAATCTTGTCCTAAGGACATAATTTAAAGTTTAGGAAACTACTTTCTGCACAAAGATGTCCTCAGTGCTATTTTGTAATAGTGAAAACCTGGAAATAACCCAAATGTATAGCAACAGAGGGGATCCGTCTGCTCTAGTCCACCCCGTCACAGCAGCGGCTGCAGGGACTATGTGACAAGACAAATGCCTCTGCTATTATCAGTGGACAGAAAGAGATCACTAAGTTGAATATGTGATCCCAGCTGTTTTAGGAAAAGGACTCCCAAACCCTGTGTCTAGAAAAAGATTATAAAAGAATACCCAGAAAAGCAACAGTGGTCTCTGAGTGGTGGGACAACAAGCGATTTTCTTTTCAATTTTCAAGTTTTGGTGTTTTCCAAATTTCCTTTGTGAGTTCACAATAATAAACAACATTTATTACTGAGAAAAAAATAAACCACGTCCTGGGGTCCCCAACCCATTGTGGGCTCCTGGCATCCCCAGCCACCTTCTCAGCCTGCCCCTCTGTCTTCTGCCTCCCAGGGACTGCAGGTGTCCAGGGACTGCAGCCCACAGGCCCCGCCCATCGCATCAGAGGACACCACGGGGCAGCACGAACACCACTTCCTAGACCCTGACTGCCGCATCTGCATGGGTGGGAGGGGACACAGGAGGGGTGCAGGGGTGGTGGGCAGGCTGGGGCTGAGTGTGCAATTCAGCAGCAACAGGGATTTGTGGCCCAGGGAGAGGGTAGCAGAGCGGGGGTGTCTGTGCCCCAGGTCACCTAGAAAAGGACCTGGTTCAACCCTGGCGCTAAAGCCCTGGGCTGGCGTCAGTCCCGCTGCTTCCCCTGTTTCAGCTTCTGCCTCTGCTGTTTGCAGACTGGGAGCCCTCGAGTGAGCTGCTGGGCTCCTTCAAAGCCACCAAGAGGCTTGGGGACAATATCTTCCAGAAAGTCCTAAGCCAAACTCCTGTGCCTGCTCCAGAGATGCCCAAAGCCAAGGAGATGCCTCCCACAGAGCCACAGGACAGGTGTGGGGCTGGGGCAGGGAGGTGGTAGCCCAGCAGGGTTGAGGGGAGGCCACCAGCTGGGGCAACAGACGGAGCACTGGCTTTTCTTTCTGTGTGGCCCTGGCAAGTCTTCCCTCCCTTGGGAGCCTCCCTTTCCCCATCTGTGCAATGGAACTTATCACCCCAGCCACCTGGTTGCATCCTGCACAAGGTCAAGCCTGGGCCAATGTTCCAGTTCCCACAGTGGGGATTCTGGACCTGCTCTGAAAAGAAAGGTGTGGCCGGAGAAGTCCTGATGGCTCCGTCTCTGTCCCTCCCTCTAGGGTCCCTCCATCTGGGCCCCAGGTGCCTTCTGCGCCCACAGAGGCCCTGCCCTGTCCGCTGCCCTGGGAAGGTGTTCTGGACATGTTCTCCATCAAGCGGTTCCGGGCCAGGGCCCAGCTGGTCTCGGGACAGAGCTGTCGGCTCGTCCAGGTGCACCTGCCCTCCTCGCCAAGGACTCCCTCATATACTGACCATCCCAGGCACCCGCCCACCTCCCTCCCTCCCTCTCTCTCTCTTTTTCTTTCTTTTCTCCCATTCTAAAGTCATTGGCACCCCTCTTTGTGCCTGGCCCTATGTGAGGCATGGGGGCAAATGAGGTGTTGGCCCCATTCCTACAGGGACACAGGGTGAAGGACTCCCTGTCACCCAAAGCACATAGCAAGAAGGGCCTACAGGAGGGTTTTAGGAGTGATCGTTGAGTGACTGAATGATCAGCTAAAGTGCTGGATGAGGGCCGAGGATAGAGGAGGGAGGGGCTTTGGAGAAGTTGTAGTTTAGCCAGGACAGGCTGCAGGCCTCCATGGGGCAATTAGAGATTTCTGGGCAGCCACTGAGGGTCTTGGAATACGGCCTACCCATCTTTGCCACAGGCTGAAGCCTTCCAGGTGGCTGGGAATGCATCCACCCCGAGTGGGTGGGAAGCTGGGAGTCTGACTGGCCGTCCCTCCTGTCCCCAGGCTCTGCCCACCGTGATCCGCTCAGCAGGCTGCGTCTCCCCCAACACTGTCTGGGACCTTCTGGCCAGCATCTGCCCAGCCAAGGCCAAGGTAACTGCCCACTCTTGGGAACCCCCTCTTCCTAGCACCTTACTCCCACCCCAGACACCCTCCCTCTCCACTTCTGGAGGAGAGGCCTGGCTTGGGACACCCAGGTCTAGTTTCCAGAGTGACTGCAGACTCACTGCGTGACCCTGGGCAGGTCCATCTGTTTCCTCCTCTGGAAGATGGGGACACACTTCCTCGCGGGGTTCTCGGGGTTCAGGGAGCCCAGGGGTGCTGGCAGGAGCAGAGGAGGACTAAGCTTACAGCTGTTCTCCTCCTGCCATCGCAGGATGTCTGCGTGATCAGACTGTGCCCACACGGGGCCCGGGACACCCAGAACTGCCGCCTGCTCTATTCATACCTCAACGACAGGCAGCGCCACGGCCTGGCCTCTGTGGAGCACATGGGGATGGTTCTGCTGCCCCTGCCTGCCTTCCAGCCCCTGCCCACCAGGCTGCGCCCTCTAGGGGGCCCAGGTGAGTGCCCAAGGCCCGTAGCAGACCCTGCCTCCACTCACTTGGTCACCAGACCAGGCATGGTTGATGCAGTCACCCAGCAGAGGCAGGCGCATCCCAGAAGGGAACTCCTCACCCAGCCAGGCAAATGTGAGAACAGTGACAGCAATAGCTCACACTTGCATCGTGAACTGCATGCCAGCCATTGTTCTAAAAGCTTTACCTAGCTGAATTCTTATAGTCTCAAAATCACCCTATCAGAATGGTACTATTAGACTAGACTCTCCATTTCATCGATGAAGAAACTGAGGTAGGAAGAAGGCAAGTGACTTGCAAAGTCACACAGCCAGTCAATAGCAGAGCTGGGCTTCACAGCCAGGCAGCGTGGCTTCAGAAACCCAGCCCCTCAGCACACCACACTGCCTCTCAAGGTAGGCACCTCCCGAAGAAAAACGGGACAGCCACATGTGACCCAGGCAGCAGGACAGAGACAGGGTCTACACACGGTTGACTGCAAATGTCACCTAAGAGAGGAGGGAGGAATGTTTCACCACAGCTATGCGGGGGCCAGGCTCGGCCTCTGTACCTGGACACCCTGCACGGCGCAGCTCAGGACAACAGCGAGGGCGGCGGTGGGGGCCCTGTCCACTCCTGAGCAAAGCGCTTGGCCTTTCCCGGCTGTATGTCCTGAGACAATGAGGTAGACTCTGAGTCTGGAGAGTCTTCAGGTCAAACCATCCATACCCCAGCCTCAGCCAGAGGACCCTTGATCCTAGAGCTCAAATCTTCCGAGATGGCCCCACCTTCCCACTTATTCTTCCCAGCATCTCATGGGCCTCATTTCACTGCGGAGAGGCCCTTCTTGGGATCCAGCCTCCAGATCTGCCGCAGCTAAGCTGAACATAGTTCTCCCCCACAGGACTTGGGGCTCTTCCTGTCTCCCCTTTTCCTTCCCCAGGTCTGGAAGTCACTCACTCAAGTCTGTTGCTGGCTGTGCTGCTCCCCAAGGAAGGGCTTCCGGACACAGCAGCGTCCAGCCCCTGGGTGGGGAAGGTTCAAAAGATGGTCTCCTTCAACAGTAAGGTAGAGAAGAGATACTACCAACCAGACGACAGGAGGCCGAGTATGCCCCTGAAGGGCACCCCTCCCCCAGGAGGCGCCTGGCAGCAGAGCCAGGGCAGGGGCAATATAGCTCCAAGGGGAATCTGTGCTTGGCAGAGACCCCCCAGAGGCAGGGGGAGGCTCTGGCCAAAGCCTGAAATTTGGCAGGGTCCTGGGCGAGGGCAATGGCCCCCAGAACCCGGCTTGCGCCAGTCCTGGCATCCCTATTCAGCAGCACCAGCTGGCCATGGCTTTGGCCATGGCCAGCACCTCCACAGGAACTCCTGTCCCCACAAAGCCCTGCTCCAGCACCTGGAATCCCTGGTGACCATGAGTCACCAGCTCCAAGCCTTACTGTGCTCCCCAGACCAAGAGCTCCATCCCTCACCCTCTGTAGCATCTGTCCAGCCGCCTGCAGCTCCAGAGCTCCCTGGCCCAGCCCCTGACTCCTCTTTGGGGCTTACAGATGAAGCTGGCTCTGAGTGTCCCCTCCCTAGAAAGGCCTGACCCTCCTTACCCACCAGAACAGGGGTTTGGATGCTCTCACTCGTGTTGAAGCCTGTTCCGGAGAGATGCTGGGCTGCAAGGAGAGGAGGGTCAGCTCTACGCACCTGCCCTGTTTGAGCTTCCTGTTTGACAATGTTTGCTGTTGATTTTTCATTCAATAAAGAATTTGGCAAAATTGGGATTGCATCTACTGGCTGGTCAGGAGAGCCCTTGGTCCTGGTCCCATGTGGGTTGGGTGGGTGTGTCAGTGGGTGTCTTGTGCACAGATGTGTAGCCTTACTCATTGCTGGGCTGAGGTCCTGAACCATCTCTGTGCCCCAGGGCACAGTTATTGCCACGGTGGCTTCTGGAAGCATTTTGCAAGTATTCTGAACTAAGAGGAAGAGGAGGTGGTGGGAAAGAAGGCAGGACTGAGGTTGGGGGTGGAGAGAGAAATGGACAGAGCCTTTTGGAGGGTCACAGACATCAACAGATTGCTAGAGAGGAAAAGAAGAGCAAGTTGCAGTGGTTTTTACATTTTTCAGTTAATATTGAGATTTTTTTCCTTTGACTAGTTGGGGAAGGGTAGTACCTACCTCCACCGTATCCCCTCTGTGTCTCTGTGCTTCTAGGGGATCTCTGTGTATGTGTGTACCTGCGTGCATGTGTGTGAGTATCTGTGAGTCTCATGGCCTGCCTGTGGGTAGGTCTCTGTTGAGGAAGTTGGGAGATCCAGATTGGGTGACTCCTCTCTCTCTCTCTCTCTTGCCAGATCGCAGACTGGTGTTAGAAAAAGTCGAGGGTCTTGGCCTTAGTGGTGGGTATTCAGGGTGGGGTTGGGGACTGGTATTAGGGTTGGACGGTGCTACCCCGCCTTGGGCCTAGAATAAGCTTCCAACAGCAGCTGTAACTGTCAAGCGTCTCAGGTAGGGTGTACCTCGAGAGAACGGAGTCTGCGGACTGATGGGGAACCAGCTGGCCAGCGTGGGGAAAGGGGCCTGGCTTCCAGAAGAGAAACTCTTTAGAACCCCACCCTTCGCCCGTAGTGAGAAGGGCCCTACCCGCTCCCTGTCCACCCCTTCGCGAAGTCCACCCATGTACAGGCCTCGCCCTGGACCCTCCTGGACGGGGAAGGGTGGGGCGATGGTCGGTTGGGAGAGCCCCTCTTTGCCCCATGAGCTCTGCGGCTGCCCTACCCGCGGACGACAGCAGAGGGGGCCCTCGGCCTTGGGATGGAGGTCGGGGCTGGCAGGACCGGAGTCAAGGCGGCTGGGGGCAGGGGTGGTGCGAGGTGCAGGAACTTGGCGGAAGGAGTTGGAAGCGGGGTCGGGGTGGGATGAGGGTGGAATGCAGGTGGGGTGCAGGTGAGGGGTAGGGAGAGGGAGCTGGACAGTTGAACCCGGGGAGGGAGCGGGGCTCCTTCGGGAACTTTTCCGGCTAGGAATGGCATGGGAACGCCGCAGCCTCCGCGCTATATGCAAATGGTGCAAATTACTATGCAAACCTACAGCTCGGTTCTGAGCCCACAGTTTGGGTGGTTTTCCTAATGCAGTTGGTTCAGAGGGAGACGACTGTGCACCCCCTCCCCTCCAGGCCCAGGGCTTCCTCCGGAGAGACGCCAGAGCCGCTCTTCCAAAGCACTCAGCGAAGAGCGAGCTTTGTACTCTGGGCAGGGATTTCTTTTGGGAGCTTCAGTTTTCCCCTCTGTAAATGGAGTTCGCCCTCAGGAGGGCTGTAGATGAGCCCCGAAATCCTGCTGCCCGCTAAACATAACACCCTCCCCCACCCCTGCCACCTTTTGGCCCCAGTCCAAGAGCCCCTAGCCTCTCTCGGCAGAGGCCAGGAACTAGGATTAGGCGGGACGTTGCTAGGGGGCGTGGCTGGCGGTTGCTAGGCTCCGGGGGCGTTGCTATGCAACGCTGGGCGGGGCTCGTTGTTGCTAGGCCGGAGCTGGAATCGCCCGGGACCCGAAGAAACACCTCGCGCCCTGGGTTTTAGTGGAAGGCGCCCCAGGCTACCAGAGATCGCGACTCTGCTCTCCCGGTGACTTTCTTGGGGCCTGAGCTTCCCCCGACTGGACGCAGTTTCTAAGGGTCCTTCCGGTCACACCCTCTGCCACTCCGTGATCCTCTTGGCTGCGGAGTGAAGAACCCTGCATCTTTGTGCACGTGTCTGTGCGCCTGCCTGTGGGGGGGGGTTGCGGAGCGGATATCGCTTTTGGGTTTCCGTAGCAACCGCTCCTGTGTCACCCCATTGCTCCCAAAGGTTTGAGCGGTTGCGTGCACAAATTTACATATATCTGCATGTCATTAGCATAGAGGCGGGGCCGGAACTTGTTTGGGCAACTATCCCTGGACGGTTCCCTTTGCTTCCTCCTCATTCCTTCTGATGGGCACGTGGGCTGCGCATGCGTGAGTGTTTCGCCTGTCCCTGTTCTCAGATGTGGGGTAAATGAGTGAGCTGTGATAGTGACCACCGGTTCCCTTTCCGCACGTCCCCTTATTGAACCATTAGCTTGAATCCATCCAGATATCTCTGACCGAAGACTCCCAGCTTCCCAAGCAATGCCAGGCCTTTCTGGCACCCCAATTCTGCCCTTTTCTGGCTGTGTGGCCTTGGGCAAGTTTAGTTACCCTCTCTGTGCCTCAGTTTTCTTCTCTGTAAACGGATATTAATCCCTAACTTACTAGGTTATGGGAGGGTTAAACGGGATGCCACTTGTACACACACTAGTTGCTGCTTTCTGGCATACAGTGGGCACTTGGTGGTACTCCCTTCCTCCCTCTCTCAAGCCCAACCCTTCTTAGAGTCCAACCAAAGCAAATCAGCTTCCTTTGCCGCTTAAGACATGGCAACTGGACACCAGGAAGAACTCCCAGATGTCAAGGCAGACTGGATTTGACACACAACATGAGGACTATTGGTTTGCCTGTTTGTCTTTCTTGGAAGCTGGAGGTCAGGTTGGTGAGCATGGACTCTCCTACTGCCACTCCCTGACATCCTTGTCTCTCTCAGGGAGCCCACAACTTGCTTTCCTGTCCCAAAGGCCGGGAGCCTGAGGCAGCTGCAGCAGTGACAGCTGAGCCTGGGAGGCCCGAAGACCAGGGCTGAGCAGGTGGTGGCTGAGGAAGTGCCTTCCAGGACTGAGATGTCTGGGATGGAGCAGGTCTGGAGATGGAAGGAGACTGAGAGCAGAATCTGCCTGGAGTGCCTTTTCCAGAGAGGACTGGGGAACCCTGGGCCACCCACTTGCCCTTTCTGAGCCTCAGTTTCCCTGTTGTGGACAGTAGGGACTCCTCTGCTGCCACTTGGGTTGGGGGTAAGAAGTCAGCTCAGTATGGAGAACTCTCTCATTGCTGCAGCTATGTAACAGTGCTGTGGAGGGAGTTCCCTGTTCTTTGCGCTGTGCAAGCAGAAACTGAGGGGGACCCCTTAAGTGTGCTGAATAGGAGCAGCAGAACTCCTGGAAGCTCTTGTTCTTTAGAAACTGGGGTTGGCTTCTATCCTGCTTGCAGGAAGATTGTTGGTGATGGTTAGGGGTGTAGGAGCTGGATTCCCAGGGGTTGAGTGGCTTCCTAGAGGAGGTAGGACTGCATGGGGGCCATACTCTGCAGTTGTCACTCTGACTGCTACATGCAAGACTGCTGTCTGCTGGTGGATGGCGGTGGGCCTGCCACCTGTGCTTCACAGGTGAGAGTTCCAGGGACAGACTGTGAGCCTAGCAGTGCCCGGCTGGCCTGCCTGTGTCCCGCTCTGGGGGCCAATTAAGTCTCCATCCCTAGCCGAGCCAATTAACAGTTAATAAGGCAGCAAACACCTGCAGCTATGGAGGCGAATTAAGAGCAACAGTCGGCATAATACACAACCCGATAAGTGAGCAATTAACAACCGGAGAAAGATTAATAGGAACAATTACGTCCTACTCAGAGCTCTGTAAATACAACTGTCAACGGCCAGGGTATTCAGTTCAGTCCTGCCTGGCCCCACCCCAGGCCACAGCCTCTGTTGGCAGGGGTGTCTACTGAGCCTGACTCTGGATCCTGGACCGCAGAGCCATGACAGATATGCAAATGCACACAGAGATATACACGTACAGTCATATTCAGATAGGTAGCCCACAGAATGCAGTCACACAGATATAAAAGTTCCCCACTGTCTCGTATACTCACATTCACACAGACGGGTACACATACACACACACATAGGGCCTCCCAGAAGCATACACAGAGATACACAGAAAAATGCCCACAGTGTCACAAAGAGACACTTTCACAGAGCTAGAGCCACACAGACTACCAGTGACACTCACATATACAAACTTAGACCTGTAGACACACACAGCTTTCTACTCACAGGGTCACAGATGCATACGTCCCTCCTGTGGTGACCTTCAGAGGGTTGTTCACAGTGGGTGAGGGCAGTGGCAGGGTATTGGACCGAGAGAGAACTGGAGTCAGTGTGGGAGGGGACACGGGGGGCAGAATGTGTGTGAAAACATGCAAGCGTGTCTGCATGCCTGTGACTCCTTGTAGAATGTGTTTCATCCGTGCATGGGCACATTCCTGTGTGTAAACATGCATGTGCTATACATCTGTGTGGCTGCCTGAGGTGAGTGTCTGTCATGATGCATGGGTATGTGTACATGTGCTGTGCCCAGCAGATCTGTGACTACACATGTGGGTGTCTGGATCACGTGTGATCATGCTGTGCCAGTGTCCATGTCCAGGTAATTGTGTGCCTGTACTTTCGAGTGGCTTTACATGTATGTGTCTTGTCTCTGTGCTGGGGCCAGGGAGGGACGCTTCCCTGGGAAGCCTGGGATAGTGTCTGAAAGCAGAGTCGTTGCCCCCACCGCCCACCACTGGATTGGGGCTCAAGGACAGGCAGGGATGCTCTCAGGCTGACTTGGCTTCCCTCACAGGGACTTCTAGCCCCTTTTAAGAGATTGACATGGAGGTTAATTTCTCCTGCTTGAAAGCTGAGGCAGGAATTCACTGTGCACCTTCCTCTTAAAGCCACAGCTCCAGTCCCCACTGGGTTCAAGCCCTCCCCATCCTTATCTCCACGCTGAGCTTCCCTTAGAAAACCCTCAAACCTGAGACGCATGCACTTTGCTCACATTCTGGGACATACACTGTCATGCACAGCATATAGATGCAGACACACAAATACAGCCAGTCATGAATATGAACACATCAAATG